ATTTGGACAAAAACCTGCTCGCTTACAGCAGCCATCCAAGGGATTTTCGGCTCATGTTTTCTTTTTCTTTAAAAAAAATAAATTTTATGATTATTTTACCTAGCATTGGCCCCCAATTCTAAGGCTTTGCATAAATAACTACAATCAGATATTGCATATTAGGAATGATTTACTCTCTGAAACAAGAAAAATTCACAATTGAATATTAATCCATTTCAGATCTTTAGTATTTCCATCAAAACCTTTCCAGCATAACCTACAAGAATTCACATCTAAAATATAAAAATTAATTCAAAGTTCAGGATTATTTAAGATGATCAGGAAGAGAAACCTGATGCATGTCGTACAAGGAAAGCAATTGGTTTAAATATTTAGCACAATGAAATAAATTTATAGGCCAAGTATTGAAACCGATACTCACACTAAAGTTAGATCCTTTCTTAGACGACCGGAAGGCACTGTTCCAGATAACATGTTATTCTGCACATACCTAAAACCATCAGATACATGAAATATATTAGGCACGTCACTTGGAACCTATAAATGTAAACTCTATCAAATACTACAGAGAAGACAATTCAAATATAAACAAAAAAATTATGGACATTTGTGTCAATATTCTTTCTGGAATACAGAATGCAATGCCATTATCCATGATACTTACAGCTCCCGTAGACTAGGAAGATTTACTAATGAGGAAGGCAACTCCCCCGTCAACTGATTGTTCTCAAGATGGCTAAAAAAAGTAAAGATCTCAGTCAGCTTAAAAACCTTCAACAGAATATGATAGAAATGAAGGTTCTTGAGATTACAGGATTTTCAAGTTCACACAGCCAGTAAAATCGGGTATAGGACCAACAAATAAATTTCCATCAAGCCACCTGCATCAGGCCACAAACAAATGGTGAAGCCAAAATAGACACAAAGCTTAACGGAAGTAGAATGGAAAAGGCACAATTGGACGACCAAGGAAAAATTGCATGCAAAATGGAACTTACAATTCAACTAAACTGTTCAACTTTGCAACGTCTGTAGGGATGTTCCCTGTCAAATTCTTTTTGGACAATAAACTAACAAGCGCCAAAGGTAGATACGGTAACTAGAATGTCAAATATATGTAAACATAAATAGACTTCAAAACTAGCGCAACAACTTTTACATTTTAACTATTCTTGGCTGTGGATCAGAGTTACACTGCAACCATGACCAAGGAACTGGCATGCATGGATCACCACCTTCATCCAAATCTGAAGATGATAATTTTGAAATTACACTAGCAACAACTGCTCCTGAAGTTCACATGTTCCAATATCAAACATAATCGATCAGCAAAGTTAAATACATTATAAGATATAAATATATAACGTTCAGGAGTTTTAACTTAAAATCAATTTGACTTTAGATTACCATCTAGAGAACCATCACTTTTTTCAAGATACTTGTTAATCTCCATGGCATTTAACAGAGGTCCCAACACAGAATCTGATGTTTTCCCAAACCTAAAAGATAATACAAAAGGGAAGGTTATGTTGGTAAAACCAGGCTCATAAAGCCGATATTTTCCTTGAGCATTTTCTTCAATGTTGACTACAGCTTTGCTGATTTCAGGCATGCCGGGAAGTAGAAGCCTGAATTTTCTCGTATCAGTAGGACCCAAGTCTTCAATTTCTGCAAAGTAGGTGAATGCCCATCCAAAGCCAGGAAAACCATCCAAATTCAAACGGTAAGTTAATGAACCATTTCTGCCAACTACAGCCGTCTGCATAACTTTTTGAGGTGGTCTTTCATCTCTATTGACATCTATTGGCATTTTAGTGGAAACTTTTTCAGTACCAGCAGCAACATCAACAAGAAAATTTGCTTTTCTCACAGAGTCAGACTCCCATATCCGGTCAAAAGGGTCATCAGGATACCTGCCGTGATGATTTCATATTATATACATTATTTAAAAAATTAAACAAAGAAACTTAATCCAAATATTGAAGGCATTATCACAATAGATGGCCCAACAAAGATTGGTAAAAAGAAATCCAGTTTCTTATTGCTTTATTAATTTGCCGTTGGCTGCTTGTAGAACTCTTCATTGAGTATATAAGAAAGTAAATATACTCTTGGTGCTCACTGACCTTACTGGGGCTTCGGAATCTGCTCCAAAATTGATCCTTGCCGAGACACTTAGGAAAAACTGATCCTCAAATTCAGTATAGTAGGTAGAGCCATTAAATTGTCGAAGCTCAAGCGTGGATATGAATGGCTGCCCAGTTGTGGCATTTGACAAACAAACACTCACAGTAGCAGTTGAAGCCAGAAATATGATCTCTCGAACCTTTATGGTGTTGGCGTCAGATATGACAATTGTTGTCCAGTGAGTTGCCCCAAGGGAAATGTCAAATTTTGGATACACGTTATTGTTGTCGAAGTTACCATACAAAAATGTTGCTCTGAGAAGGTAACGTGTTCTACTAGTGACATTGAGTGAGTAACAGTACTTCCTGGAATCAGCAGGGAAGTGTCTTAAGGTCCTGTATTGCTTCCTCGTCTCATTTGCAACAGATAGGTTAATTGCTTCTCCAAAACGAACTTGAGTATCTGGAACCCATTCCAAACCAATGTCATCAGTGAAACTTTCTTGACCTCCACAGTCCAAACTTACAAAACCTAATCCACAATATACAGCATAGTTTAGCTTCGTAGTAAATACTCAACATTCGATTAAACAATCAGCATATTTCATATTGAGAATTCACATGCTAATAAATGCTATTTGGCAAGCTTCATAAGACAACGATCAAGCAAAAAAGATCAAAAATACCGTGAAGAAAATGTTCAAACGGAAGGAAGAACAATTGAAAATAACTTCAACATTAAATATTGGTAAACCGTGGAGTACAAATTATCTAGTTAGTCAACAACAAGTCCAAAACATAATGATCAAAAAATTGAAGAACGGACGACGCGTCAATCATCATCTTAAACCAAAATTTAGGTAAAGATGACGACAGCGATAGAATCCGAAATATGTAACGTTCATTCTCACAAGCCAGAATCTAAGAAACACTGCAACAGCCATTTATCAAACTGGAAAGAGTGAAAATCAAAGACTCGGAGATAACGCCATTTGAACTGAACAAAAACACAGAAACCAACAGTTGCAAAGCTCGATAAACCTTAAGACATGAAAATTACAGTCGAAAATCAATATAAAGTGCAACAGAGCACGGATAATCACTACAGAAAATCGAATAACAAAAATGGAGAAAATACCTGGCATCTGAGCAAAGGAGACATCAAAAAGAAAGAGAAGAAACAGAAACTGAAACTTAGCCTCCATTTTTTCCGAGCATGAAGAAAACAATGAAAATAGATTCAGAGTTCAATCATTGCTGCAACCATCGGAGCCATGAGAGATCTTAAGAAAGCAGAATGGGAAGAAACTGGTAGCCAGAGTGTAAAGTAATCAAGAAGGGTCTATGGGGATTTATCAACTCTTGAGCTCAATAATCAATCAAGAAATGGAATGTGTGGAAGACAGAGAGAGATTGGACTGTTCGTATGATTCTATTATATAATTTCCATTTTTTTCTGGCATGTTATATATAAATTTAACTTAAAATTAATTATTTATTTCCTTTTTATTTTTGACGGGATCGGGATGCGTGGGGCCCGATATAAAGGCGGTATTACAAAAGCTGAACCATAGCTATACAGCGAGATATTGTAAATCTTACACGTGGACGAAGGAGATTCACCGATTAGAGAGGGACCCACCAATAGTTGCATCCGCGTCGCACTGTATCCAACTTAAACGCGGGAAAGCATAAAAATATAATTCTAAAAAAATGCTAAATTAATAAAATTACCGACCTTTTTTTTTAATTATTATTAAAACTTTTACAAATTTTAGTGTATCTTTATTAATAGTCTATTAAAAATAATAATAAAAGATAATTAAACAAGATAATTCGTGTTAAATTGATTATTATTAATTAATAATTTATTGGGTGTCATAAGAATAAAGATAAACCGAGCAGCAAATTTCAGTTCACGTTAATGAAGAAAGAGAGTGATCTTAGCTCAGTGAGCTTTTTCTCCCACGATGAAGTGTTGGCGTTAATCATTCATATGATATTTTTCACTTTCATTCACATCGTTTTTTTAATCTCGATCTGAAAATTAGGCACATTACCCACATGGGTAGTTTTCGTAACCCTTTTGTTCATTTTAATTTGGTCCAATAGGTAGCTTCGAATTTTCAAGTGAAAAGTTAAATTTACCAAACAATCAAAGACTTTACTGGAAAAAGTTGCCTTTTTTTAATAGAAAAGGAAAAGCAATATATTTTGCAATTACTTTTAATTTTATATTTAAAAAATATTATTTTGTAATTGAATATGTTGTTATTGTTTTTACCCGTTTATATTACAAATTATTTTTTTTTACTTTAATTTTTATTTACGCCAATTATTTTCAAATTCTCTATTTTCACGAGTTGGCCCAATTAAACCTAATGGGCCTTAGCCCATCTCTTATTGGGCTGAAACGGATACATAAGGCCCATGCTTGAGTTCAATTCCAACCTCAGATGACTTGTAAATTTAATCGAAATAGAAATATAAAAAAAATATAAATTGTCTAAAATAAAAAATTGGAATCTAGCTTTGTCGATCCATAAATAAAAATAAGCTATAGAAAATTACAAATCTTTAAAAAAAAAAGATAAATAAAAGAAGCCAAGTTATTAATTTAATTATTTTTTTAATTATAAATTTGATAATATTTAGTTCATGAAAATTGATAATAATGACCAAAATTTTAATTTTTATGGGTAATAGATTTTTTAATTATAAAATTGTATAAAAGATAACCTTTTAATTTCGTATTTAATAGATTTCTTTTTTTTTTTAATATATATATATATATATATTTTTTTTTTTAAGAAATCAATTTATTTATTAAATATAAATTAATTTATTATATTATGCAAAATTAAGCGAAAGTTTTTAATTTTGTCGGCCTTCGGAAAGGAGCATCGCGAAGGGGAAAGGGAATGTGCCTCTTCCGAAATGACCGATCATTCTTAGAGGATCGGAGACGAGAACTCTGCAAGGCAAAAACAGTTCTCGATTATCGCCATTTTTATGGACAAATTGCATAGGAACACAGAGATAGCAGCATCGGATCCTAAATTAAAATGGAGAAAAAGACGAGGACGATGTAAAATCTGAAGCAGGAGACGAATCGAGCGGTAAATTGGATGAAATTGCGTTGCGATGTTTTCAATTTAGGGTTTGCAGAAGGAATAGTTGAATCAAGAGTGACACTGACAGTTGCTAATAATTGATGGATTGATGGATTTCTTGTTTGATGATGGAACTGTTCATCTTCACCTTTTTGTTTCTGACAGCACGATTGGAAATCTGGAACTTCGCTCGATAAGGAGAAGACAGATCAGTAGTGTGCATGCGGAAGTGACGGCGGAGGAGACAGCGGAGGCCGGCAAGGCGGGGCGGAGATCAGAAGAGATTTCGATATGACTTTCAAGCTATGTGAAGAATATCTCATCCAAGTAATCCATAGCTACTTCTTTTATCCATCTTTGGTTCAGATTACATTTTCATCCATGAAATTTGAAATCGTTTCATTTTAGTCCTAAAACAATATAATAAGAACTATGATGAGATTAAATTATTGTTATTTTAACATTAAACTTTTTTCGTTAGTTTAAAGAAGTATCAACATATACAGGTTGATTTCAATCCATTATTCATAAGATTGTTTTTATGCAACTCCACATTCCAAAACATAATTTTATAATCTTAATTACAAAAGCTCACAACTTAGAAACTCAAATCTTCAAACGGTATTATTATTACAATAAAATTTTGTGCGTAACCTGTAATCTTTCTGAAACAAAGAATACCTTTAAACTGTCAGTTCTGATCCTTCCTTCTTTCTTCAGTTCCCTCAAGGGATTTCCAGTTCAATTCCTACAGTAGAAGTTGGATAAGTTGCTGTCATGGTGATGGAAAATAGCTGAGAAATGGATTTCACCAACAGCAGAGGATGAAATGGAAGAAGAAGAAGAAGAAGAAGAAGAAGAAGAAGAAGAAGAAGAAGAAGGGAATCCTGATGATGCTGCAGCAGAGAAGAATGGCACAGAGGTTAATCTATTTGAGTGGCCATGGATTTGCCACTCCCCCATTCTCGTCTCTGCTGCTCTTTCCTGCATTCGCAATGTTAATTCACAGGCAAAAGTCAGAACATCAAATATGATATATCTACTAACTACATGAGGAGCTGAATGCAAACACAAGAAATATATGTACGGATTATATGAAGTTTGGTTTTCAAATGGTTCATTACCCTGGAGATGGGAAAGAAACAGGAATTTGAAGGCACAGCATAGCCATATGGCTGAGAAGATTCAATTGCTGCTGAAACAGAGTTTTCAAGCTGTTTGTGATTGAGCAAGATGTTAGCCAAGCATTAACAATAAAACAAAAGATCTCCAGAACTCAGTCTCGAGAATTACCGTCGTTCTACCATCAACGACGACGTCGGGTGAGCTGAGATGACAACCATTACCAAACATGCCAATGCTCTCACTTTGAGGGTCAGAATGATTGGGGGGAGCAATTCGCAAACTCAGGTCAAGACTCTGGTTGTCCTCTACAAATCAAGACGGTTTTCGAAACCAATTGTTATGTTATGTATAACCTGATCGAGCAAAGGGGGTTGTTAAGAACTAGAATGAGAAAATGTATAAACAGGGAAGAACCAAACCTCCTGTGTCAATCTCTGCAGCCATCTCTGACATATAAGAACTTGGATCAAAGTTTGTAACAGCCTCTTTACCATTGCATCTTAAGGCAGCTATGTCATAGGCCCTGATTGAACAACAGTAAACAATCAAGTTAAAGGGAGTGACCCGACTATAAAAGCTTCTTGCGAGGAAGCCCTCCGTGACACTAGCCTTAAGCTAACGCAGACATTAGAAAGTTTGAAAGATTTAAGAAGACCTTGCAGCTTCAATCTCACTATCAAAGAGACCAAGATACATGTACCTGTAAGGAAGAAAAATGCCAACAAAAACAGCTCGATTCAAGACAAAATCCCAGTAACATGATCCAAGAAACACACAGAAAACGAAGTCCCAGAATAATTTAGACTCACTTCCTGCCTAAGAACTGGCCCATCCGAGCTTCCCATCGACCACATTTATGCAAGGTAACTCCTCTGTACTTCGAGCTTCCTCTTGTAAATCCATTGCTACGGCGACGAAGATTATGAATAAGCTCTTCCTTAGTGATATTACTCATCTGGGGTGTTAATGGCAGAATCAGAGAGAAGCTCTTCGTCAATGGCGTAATTTGAATTTCTGACAGTAACAAGCATTATCTTAGACTACCTCACCTGTTTGATATCTTCTTCATAATTTCTGACACTGAAATTGATATCTGCGTCGACCCCCCGAAACTTGATCGCCGCTTTATCATATGCTCTGAGATGGAAAATATGAATTCTAAGAGAAATCCAACCAAAAATGGCGGAAAGAACAAGAGAAGTGGTTTTTTTTTTGTTACCTGGCGGCAGCATGAGCAGTATCGAAACCGCCTGAAGGAAAAGAGAAACAGCCATAGAGAAAATGATGAATCGAAGTTCGAGAAAAGAAAAGAAAAGAAAAGGAATCAAACAGCAATGGCCGTACCCAAATAAACCTGTTTCCCGCAGTCCCTGGTAACGAACAGAAAAGGTGCTCAAGAACGGCATAAATGGCGGATTCAAATTCAAGGAACCTAATAAGGTCATGGAACTGTCAAAACAATAAAACACTTACCAAATATGCGATTCCCATCTCCCGGTTCTACGATAATACGTAACGCCACGATACTGCGAACTTCGAGGCCTTGGACCACGTCTGTTTTTCCTCATCGCCTGATCCTGTGGCTGCGCCGGTGCGCCGCCGTCTCCATGATTGAATTCCGATGGAGAAACCTCCGGCCACTGCATCTGAGTACTCGAACTAGTATTTAATCCGTCGGTTAACGGGAAGAACTCCTTCGTTTGGTCGCGGTGGTCATCGGAAATAGAATTTAATCCGTCCGTTAACGGGAAGAGCTCTATCGTCTGGTCGCAGTGGTCATCGGAAATAGAAAGTGATTTCACCGTTGAGCTTTCTTGAACCGCGTAATTTTTACCGATAGTGAACGGGAAAACCTCGTCGACGTTGGTGGTGCTGGCGGAAGGATCGCCATTAACGACGGAGGACGAGTTGAAACATCCAGCGGTTTCCATTCTGTTCGCTGGAAAATTCAGAAAACTCTCAGTAACCATCTCCGATGGAACAACGTCGTGGTTAAGATTCAGCATGAGCTTGAAACTTCACCTTCTGCAAAAAAAAAACATGGAAATCAAAGCATAATTGGATTGTAAAGAATCAAACCATCACAACACTTCAGCTGTTACACAATCAGAGGATCATTGTTGAAGAAACAAAGAGAATATGAAGAAGAAGACAATAAGGGTGGAGATGGGTCACCAGTAAACAGACTCCTGACTGCTTGAATCAATGAAGAGAGGAGAATGAAGTCCAAAGAGAGTGGGTGAAGTTAATTTATTGAAGGTGGGAGCTCGATTTCCATGGCGGATAGAGGCAGGAAATTGAGAAAAGACGAGGTGGGGGTCACTAAAAAACTGCACTTCTCTTGTCTCTTTCTGTAGTTTGAAAGAAATCAACGAAAACGTTTTATTTTAATTTAATTTTGTTTTTATTTTTATATTATTTTCTTAAGCTCATCGATAGTTTATCTATTTCTTGTTTTTTTTTATAAATATTATCAAACTTGATTACTTTCTAACATATTTATTTTTTCTCCTTGCATCAATTTTTAAATATAATTTTAGACTAATTAAAAATAATAATAAAAAAGAGGACTTTTTAATAATATTACAAATTTTAATATTAATGGTATATTTAATCATTACTTGTAACTTTTTAATGTATTTTTACTACGAATGGCTTATGTAAGAAAAATGGTAACGTAAACTTTTGATAATTTCTTTAATATAATTTAATTTATGTTATAAAATTTATATATTATATTTACTAAATTGCATTTTTACAATAGGAGAGGAAAAACTAGAAATTAAAAAAAAAAATCTTTATTGTCTGTTTCTTTTTTTCCAATAAAATAATAAACAAAAATCAATACGTTCAATATAAAGAAAGAATAAAGAAATATATTTATTTTTACCTCTAAAGCAAATCCCCATGAAAGAGGAAGATCCACTTTTACATGGAACTACGAAATTTTCCCTCTTTCACTACATGCACCCTCTTCAAAGGCATCACTCACCATATACATACATATATATATATATACACATATATAAATACACATATATATAAATACACACATATATAAACATACACACATATATATATACACATATACATATAGAATTGCCGTAGTTCGTGACAGGTAATTTATTTCCATTTATGTTTATTAAATTAATTCTTTAAGAAAGCAGATACAAATGAGAGAAGAGTACCAGGCCGGCCTAACAAGCTCATCTCTTTCCTCGGGAAGGATATATGAGCCGTGATAGGCCCAATTGGATACGTGATTGACCATGCAAATGAAATAGGGAAATTGTCATGGGTGGCTAAAGATAACTAGGTAAGATGAGAAAAATTAAAAAAAAAAAAAATTAAAATTTTTTTCTTTAGAAACATCTTGTTGGTAGAGGGACAGAAGGAGACTAAGTCAGTTCAAGAACGCCAAGTGCCCCTGTTTTTTCAGGTTAAGAAGAGGTAGAAAAAGCTTGATTGAATGACCTAACAAAAGGGTACCTGTACCCAAAACCAACAAAAATGGATAGGTAGAGAATACCTAGGGGCATGAGACAACTCTCTTTAAGGAACTTGGCTCCTCCAACCATGCCGTTACAACTTCAAAATCATACTATGTTGAATCAATCGCATGAACATTCATTGCAAAAAGAAGCCATAGTATACCAGTCTATCTATAACTAATCATCAAAAAAACAAAACAGTAGATTCAAATTTTAAACAAAAGTTTTGAAGTGTAAATCTCAGTGCAAATTACTAAACTCACCTTCTAAGCTCTTCAGATGTTCAATTCCATTTCCAAAAAGAAATAATCCTCCACAAGGACAAGGTAGGCAAGAGAATAGGGGGAACTCGACATCCCATTCAGACACTCAGACCTCCTACTTTCTTCCATGACGCAAAACAGAAAAGCAGCAGAAACAGCAGCGCGTACAAAATTTAATTAAACTAAGGTCTATGGAAATTTATGTCAAACAGAAATGAAATCACTGAGAGACACCAAGCCACTTGGAAAAGTTGTCGAACTCGGTGTAATCACTGTCTGAAATCATTGTCTGATACCATGCTTTGCCTGCTGCCCTTATTCCTGAAGCCTCCTCCTGAATACAATATGGCCACAAGGGTCAATATGGGTCTCAATATCATACATGCAAAGCCACAATCACGTGACCTATTCAAGCTGAAAAAAGTAACGAATTCCAAGCTACACTAAAACTACGAAGTCCCATTCATCTATAAAACAAGTTGAGTAAACTTTGGAAGCTAACAAAATAAGCAATCAGTACCAACAAAATAATAGACCACAAATTCACAGATACTTCATCAATGTCATAGAAAAAGAAGCTATGCATCAATCAATAACATGAGATTGCTACCATAAAAGTGAAAGAGATAAAATGATGACTTGATATACAAGAGAAAATTAAAAAATACTCATCAAACAAGTTGGAGAAAAAACGAAAAAGAAAAACATGATGCCATTCTACAACTCATTATAATCAACAGTGAAATGCATAGTTGAAAATGAAAACGGTACAAATCATACAACCATAATCTAAAACCGAGCAAAAAACCTGAGGCTAAAGCATTATAATCAACAGTGAAATGCATAGTTGAAAATGAAAACGGAACAAATCATATAACCATAATCTAAAACCGAGCAAAAAACCTGAGGCCAAAGCATTATAATCAACAGTGAAATGCATAGTTGAAAATGAAAACGGTCGCGAATGCAATACTATAAACCTATCATCTCACAACATCAGAATGTCGAATCGGATTTCAAAATTCGGGCACTTGAAACATTTGAAATATTTTAATCTACAACAAATTTGGTTGATAAACAACGCTACCACCTAAATTTTGGAAACAAGCAGAGAGTAATTAAAAATAATAAATCCACAGAGCCAGATTCAAAAGATACCTTCGGGATAATGTTCCTCTTCTTGTCGAGTTTCTCCTTCTTAGCTTTCACACGTTGTGCCTCAGCCAATAAAGACATTCTCCTTGCAGTCTTAGCATATGGGTTAAGCTTCAACATGGCATTAAGGTTCTTGAGTGGGTTCTTCTTCAGAGAAGGTCTCTTCACAGCCTTCTTGATGGGATTAACGACAGATTGAACCTCATCAGAGTTTATAATCCTAGACAAATCAGCATTGACCATCTTTGCTCTCGGAAGCACGTAACCCTTCTTCTTCTCAGATGACTTCTCAAACGATCCATAGATGGAATCGAGCTTCTCAAAAGCAGTTTTAGTCCAGATAACAAATCTTCCAAGATGACCTCCAGGAGCTAACTTCAAAAGATTCAGCCTCTCGACATTCACCACCTCGATACCAGGAATGTTACGGAAGGCCTTCACAAGCTTAGCACCTTCAGTACCATACACAATCAATGGACCCTTTCGCGAAATGTAGCGACGATTCCTCATCTTACCCTTACCAGGGCGGATGGCGTGACTGTCCTTCGCCTTCTCAGCATCAGGAAATGCACCAACCTGCTTCAAAACCTTAATCGCAGAAGAGGTCTTCTCGATTCCCTCAGCCGAGTCGCTAATTACAAGGGGCAGTTCCGGAACAGACTCGATCCGGTGACCACGAGCCAAAACCAAAGAAGGAATAGCAGAAGCAGCAATGGCAGAAACAACGGCGTACCTCTTTTGATTGACGTTGATCTTTCGGTGCCATCGGCGCCAGATCTTAGTTGGAGCAAACATGCGTCCTCCTCGACACATGTTTCCAAAAGCTCCTTGACCAGCGCGGTGAGTACCACCACCAGGGACACGAGGAATACGAGAAACAGCTCGTCCTGTACCCCATGACTCTGCGGAAGTTTGATGACCGGCACGCTTGCTCACAGCATAGGGTTGGCGTCGGTTTTTTGAGATATTGGCGTGGACAAAATTAACGATATCCGGTCGAATGGAAGCTTTCATAACATCGGGCAACGGCACAGTCGGGGCAGCATCAGTGGCCATATCTCCTTCGAGAGATTGGACGGCGACCAAAGGGCGAGCGGCTGCGGCGGCCATTTTGGACGGGTGTGTGGTAGCCGGAGCAAACTAGGGTTTTTACCTCTTGGAAAACGAGGGAGAGAAATGCTGATCAATTTATAGGGTTGATATTGAGACAGAATTAGGTTTTTAATCGGGACTAGTGATTCCCAAGCCCACGGGCCCATTCTTTTTCCGAAAGCCCATGGGCTCAATTTTTTTGAAAGCCCATATCCTGATTGATCGGACCGATGTTGAGCCGATCCAATGCTTGATTTTATTTTATTATTTTATTATATTTTCTCCTTAAATACACTTATTTAATCTAATTAAGTTGTATTATTTTATCTACCCTATCTTATTTTCTTAAACGAACACTTGCATATTTTATACTAAAATAATATAGTTTATAATTTTAATTAATTATGTACAAATTTTCATAAATTCATTAATTTATGATATAAAATTAAATTTGATTATTGCAAATAATAATAATAAACCATGCTTAAAAAAGTTTTTTTTAAACTAAAAAATATTTAAAAAATATTTAAAAAAAGTATCATTAAAAAATTTGGAGATAACTTATAAAGTCGGTAAGATTTTTTTTTAATTTTTTATTTATTTATAAAATAAAATGATGTTAATACTATTTTAAAATTTTAATAGATATTTTTAAAATATAGTACTCGAGTATTTTTTTTTTTTAATTTAAGAATATTAGTGAAAACAAAATAAAATTTTTTAGTAATACTTTTATTAATTTATTAGTTAAAAAACTAAAACTTTTTAACCTAACAGGACTAGTAGACACGTGTTTATATTTTAGGAAGAACGGAATTACACGCTGGACATAACGGTGACCACAAGATCCATCGGCTGAGATTATGGAGGTGGCCACCTGTGCACATTTGGGGCTGGGTAGGGCCTACTGCCCCAGTCATCAACCCCGAACCCACACCCTTTGGTGAGGCGACACGTGGCAAGAGGACTCCCACATGTGAAAAATTATTAATTCTTTTTTTGTTTTTTCCGAAACAACAATTTACGTGACGGTTGCCACGGAGACGGGAGAGTGAATGGTAAAGATGGATTAGGATTTTGTGTGTTCTTGATCCAAATTCATTGATCCTTGAGTTGAGAGTAATTGCTAGTGCCGTTTAGGTTGTGAGTGCGAACGCACATTGTCGAGTAAATGCTTTAGTGTAAAGGGATGATGCACCGAGGAATGGAATAGAATGATTCCGAGTCTGGCGTGATGCATCCAATAACTATGGGTTGTAGAACTGCGAGTTTTTTTGAAGGATGTTGTTGTCCTTGTTGAGCAAGCGCTTATTGGATGTAGATTCCAGGTGGGTCGGTATATTGGGTACGCCTTTGCTAATGATCCTTCAGACTTTTGTTAAACTGCTGCATACATTGAGCATTTTGTAAATCTTTCCATAATCAATTTTTTGCAATCGTTAGTTTTCGTCTTTGATTTTTGGAAAAAAAATTATCTGCGTTTCTTGAGATTTGAATCGGCCGTCGTATGATTTTCATTTGCTCATTCGTCGAATGTTCGTCATAATCAACAAAATTTGATGGGAGCAGGGATGCCTATGGATTTGCTCTGAGACCTCAACACACGCATAGATATAAAGAGCACACTAACATCTACAAGGTATTGTTTCAACATCTTAGATTATACCATCGATCTTTGTTTCCATTTGCTCATTCGTCGAGTGTATTGTGTACATTTCGATACTCATGGAGTCATTGTTATGACTCTAAATTAGTTTCTGTAATAAGTTCTGGTCTATGAAATCGAGTTTGACAATGCAGTAATAGGCAACTAGCTAAATCCATGTTTTGTTTGGGAGACTGCAGAATTTGCTAGAAAGTTTAGTTTATTTGAAAGATTTTGTATGGATGTCGCCAGATGAGCTCAAGAAATCCTTCAATGTTTATATATCCAAGTGCGTACTTTGAATATTTATGTTATCAGGAGGAGGAAGAGGAAAGGTGCCATAAGTGGGAGAATTTTCTTGATCAAGTAGCTACACCATTTCAACCAAGCCCTCTTAAGGAGGAGTTAAATACAAATACACTGCAGGCTGAAACGAGTGAGCGTCAAGAAGAGACCGAGTTGGGGAGGTGTAGCACAGGAGATGACTCAACTGCCTCAAAATCTGATACTGTCGACGCAACAGATAGTAGTCCTGAAAAACTGTTAGAGCCTCCAATAGAAACACGTAAACGTGTCGTTCAGACTTGGTGTCAAACTAGGCCATCCCTAAATGCCATTGAGATTATGATGGGCTCTCGTGTTAAAAAGAAGATAATGAAAGATGAAAAGACAAGTTATCGTGGAGTTCATGTTCCACCACTAGAGGGGGCAGAATCTTGCCCTGAAGAGGAAGAAGCTTTCTGTAGTGGAGCAGTAAATCGTAGAACATCTGCTACTGGGGTAGGAAGAAGGGGTGAAGAATGCATTTCTAACAGTGTGAAGCCCTCAGAGAGAGATGGTGTCGTGGGCGATGGAGTTTCAGAAGATCAGCTCTTTCCATGGAAAAAAGAATTAGAATGTCTTGTTCGTGGGGGGTTGCCGAAAGATCTGAGGGGAGAGGTAAAGCTGGAATTTTGACTCATCTCAAGTTCCTTATTAGGAAGATTTTTGTAGTTCTAATAATACCTTACAGGTGTGGCAAGCCTTTGTAGGTGTAAAGACCCGTCGAATCGAGAAATATTACCAGGATTTATTGGACCAAGAAACTAATTGTAGTGCGGATAATGAGAACCATATCCCCTCTGGTGTACCGATAAAATTGAAAAAACAGATTGAGAAGGTCATTAGATGCATGCGCCTTCATTCAATCTTTTTAATTTGTAGGTGCTACTTCTTTTTCCTTGTTTTTCAATTTGGCAAAGACGGTGCTGTAATCCGTGCTTTTTGTTTACAGGATATACCACGGACGTTTCCTGGTCATCCTGCTCTGGACGAGAATGGTAGAAACTCCTTGAGGCGTTTACTTTTAGCATATGCTCTTCACAATCCCTCTGTTGGGTACTGTCAGGTAATTCATGTGTAACAGTCCCATTTAACAAGCAAAGAAAAGCTTGACATCTTGATCTTCATCAATGTACATGTAAGAAATAAAATGGATGATATCCTCCAGATAAGACCAGTCTTTGTAAGTGTTAACACTGAGCTTTTGGTAGTACATTGTTCCATTCTTGAACAACATGGAAAAATGTCAGGCAACAAAGCCAGAAATGTTTGAAACAATTTGCATTCTTTTGACGTTATATGTTGTTTGACAACCTTAGGTGTTTTAGATGTTTGCTTGCTTTAATTTCTTATTTTAATGCTGTATTTATTGTAAAGTTTATTCTTTAACTCTTATTTCTGGAATGAAATTTATTTGTAGCCTCATGCTATTCATTCTACATTTTACATATTCTTATTATGAATTATGATTATTTTGTTTTTACTTAATATTTTCTGCCTTTCAAAATGATCCAGGCAATGAATTTCTTTGCGGGCTTGTTGCTACTCCTGATGCCCGAGGAGAATGCATTTTGGTACACTTCAGATCAGAATTTTTCTTTTTACGTTACATTTAAAATGATGCACTTTAAATAGATTCTCTTTTTATCTGATTGAGGGTGTTTTTTTAATGTGATTCAGATGCATAATCTGTTTTTTTTTTTTTTTTTTCCTTTTCTTTCTGAAATAAACTGAACTTTCATGGAACAAATGAAAGAATACAAGGGTATACATAAAACAAGCCTGAAGAAAGTGGTAGTCCAAAAACTAACTACAAAAGGGACTTCAATCTAAGAGAACAAGACCAAGGTCATAATTATAAAGAGACCTGGTGACAACGGTCATAAAAAGATATTATATCTAGCAATCTCCCAAACCTCTATCGATCCCAAAGGTCGGTAGTAAACTGGCACTCTCTAAGCATGTGAATCATGTGCTCCTCATGTCTCCTACAAAAGGTTGCACCATTGCACGTACAAAACTAGGAAAGAGTGTCTTTGAACGTGATCCTTAATGTTAACCTTCCCAATTAAACCTACACGCAAAAAAAACTTTTTCAGATGCATAATCTTTATTCTTCCCTGTCATGACTTTATTTATTGTAATTATTATTCTTTTTCATAAAAATTAAAAAAAATGAAAAATGAAAAAAAGAAGCTAGACTCCGAAGTTCTTGATCGACTGATGTAAATAGGTGTTGTTTTAAGCATAAATGCGAAGGGACAAGTTCTTTATCTGATTCTAGGAGACAACTACAATTGAATGTCTATGTCCCTCTAAGATCATCTCTTCACTTACATGCTTATGTGATTAGATTCCTATAGATGTTATGGATGAACTGGCTACATAATTTTACAGGACTTTGGTTGGAATAATAGATGACTATTTTGAGGGATATTACACCGAGGAAATGATAGAATCGCAGGTATTGTTTAAGAACTCATAATCTTTAATTACTTTGCTTCATAGGCTCTTGCTTTGAAATCTTTAGGTTTGAGTTAGCGATCGTGTGATTATCGGCTTTTACTTTCAGTGTCTAACGTTTGGTATATTATATCTGACTTAAGTGTCAAAGTCTCTTTATCAACTTCAACTACTTTCTCTCTGCTAGCATTTTATTGAAACCTTATAATTTTCTCAATATCTCCAATGCTTAATGGTACAAGCTGGTCATGGGTTGAAAACCCTTTGGTGGCCAGAATTGTTGAATTTTAAATATTTCATAAGTTTCCATTATTACAGAATGCCATTGAGATTGGTAGTAGTCTTTGTTCAAATTCAATAACATGTGGGAGTTGAGAGAGTTCTAGATATCACAAAAATAAGTGTAGTAACATTATGGTACCCAACCAAAGGCATTTTCTGCTGTCTTCTAGATTTTTACTCCAGACGTAATGATATAATTTTTAATCATGTACATGTGTAGTATAAAGCATGGAGTTACATTTTCATTTTGGTTATATGAATTATTTATTCTACCTTTTTAGAACATACATTTTTTTCTGTCATATATATTTTATCCCAGTCTGTGCTTCCTACGTAGGTTTACAACTGAAATAACATAGCCGAGAAACAAATGTACCTCATTTGAATTTTACTTAGTTTTCTCTTTTTTTTTTTTAACATTAATCTCCTCTGTGTTTCTTTTGTTAGGTGGACCAGCTTGTTTTTGAGGAATTGATGCGTGAAAGATTTCCTAAATTGGGTCATACATTTTATCTTTTTCCACATATATCATTTTTCTTTGGTATGTATTTTTCATTATGAGACATGGAGACAGTTGGCTTATTTATCGATGCTTATGGTGCAGTTGATCATTTGGATCTCTTGGGAGTGCAAGTGGCATGGATCACAGGACCTTGGTTCCTTTCCATTTTTGTAAATATGATTCCGTGGGAGAGTGGTGGGTTTCTTTTAATATCGTGTTCAAGATATTTTTTTATTTTCTATTAACGTTTGGGGGTGGTTTCTTGATTGACTAGATGATTTCATGGCTTTGCATTAACTATTTTCATAGTGTGAATCCTTACAGTACTCCGAGTTTGGGATGTGCTTCTGTTTGAAGGCAACAGGGTCATGCTGTTCCGGACAGCACTTGCATTAATGGAACTATATGGTACTTGGGTATTGTAAAAAAAATAACTGCAATTTTTATCAGTTTTCAGATGCACGAGAAGTGGGTGTAGTATTATACTTTTCTATCATATCGCTCTTTCTTCAGGTCCTGCGCTAACTACTACAAAAGATGCGGGGGACGCCATTACTTTGTTACAATCCCTTGCTGGTTCCACTTTTGATAGTAGCCAGCTTGTGTTGACTGCTTGCATGGGCTTTCTGACTGTAACTGAAGTAAGACTAGTGGAGTTGAGAACAAAGCTCCGGCCATCCGTGCTAGTTGTAATTGAAGAAAGAACAAAGAAAGGTCGGGTTTGGAAGGACTCAAAAGGGCTAGCTTCCAAGCTTTATAGTTTCAAGCATGATCCTAGATCACCTACAGAGAGAGAAAAGACAGCTGCAGGAGCCAATGTAGGGCCCTGCACCCCTAAGCCAGATGACATTCTTAATGAATTGGCCGGTGATTCTGGAACAGAGTCGCTTCCAGACCTTCAAGAACAAGTAACTCCCTTTTTCATTGGTAATTTGGTGTCACCTGATATTTCTTTGCCGATTGTTATTTGATGATTCCTTCCTTCTGAAGAAGGTCCATGATACAACAAAAAGGATGTTTGCCCTTCCCTAGGATCCAATGAATAATTAGATTTTTATTGTTAGAGATTGGCCTGCAAGCTGCCTTAAGGAGAGTCTCATTCCTTGTAATTTTAGATGTGGATCCTGTACAGTAACATTTGTAGGATTTTTTAGAGATTTGATTATCATTTATATTTATTTGGAGGTTATTAGCCATTGATTAATTGTCTACACCTATCACATATGAAATGCTTCAATTTGTTAAGATATCATAGATGCATTTTTCACTTTAAAAGGCCATCTTTAGTTTATTTTTCCTACAAGCATTGTCCAGGAAGCTCATCATCATTAGTCATTGGGTTCAATTCACCTCGAGTGTCATTTCCAACTCATAAAATGGTATTTGATTTTCAGGTTTTCCCTTTTTGGGTTAATTTCAATCTTAAACGGTTTTGTGCAGGTAGTATGGTTGAAAGTTGAGTTGTGCAGGTTGCTGGAGGACAAAAGATCTGCGGTTCTAAGGTTATTACTATATTTTATGAGACTTGGATTTTCTTCTCTGAGAATTTATAGTGGTTTCTGTATGATTGCCACAGATTCTATTAGGGAGTGGTGATAATCAACTTAGGAAAAAGATATGTGAAGAAAAAAAAAATCCAATGATTTTGATTTCTTCACACTTAGCACCACCTTCTGTTATTGAGTTCCAGCTATGTGTATTTGCCTCAATACTCATTATATCAAATCATAATGACTGCTTCAATATCGCTTCCTTGAAGGGACTTTCAGGATATGTTCCTCTTTTCATGTGTTTGTGCTTGGATTAGTGTATTTAACGGGTTATGGCTTATTATTAGCAAAACAAGCCTGCTTCTTCTGCGGAACTGGCTCTTCTTGTATCGTTTCAAGAAAATGGTTATTAAAGCTTCTGTTTCTTTTTGCTTTCCAGAGCTGAGGAGCTAGAAACAGCACTAATGGAAATGGTCTCGCAAGATAATCGGCGGCTATTGAGTGCCAGGGTATAAATCTCGTCTGTGAGGAAAGATTTTAATGCTTGTTGTTACGTGATTGCTTTTTGTAATATTATAATTCAAGACCTCCTGCATCCTTGTATCATTGAGAAGTGCTCCTTTTATCTCTTGACTTATAACCTTTTAGATACATAAGTGGAGGCTCGGTTCATCTAAGCGTGACTAGTGGACTTGCTTCTAAAACTTTCCTTTAGGTTTCTGGTCCATACTTAAGATTTTGCTTATATTCTCTAGGTTGAACAACTAGAGTTAGAGGTAGATGCGCTACGGAAAACTCTAGCAGAGAAGAAAGAACAAGAAGTTGCAATGCTTCAGGTGTGTGTTAGGTGATATCACATTCACATTCTGATGGGGAAGCCTGATCTTAATCCGAAAGTTGACCGAGTTTTAAGTTTTAACTATCAGTTACTTCTGTTAACAACTGATCGATTCTTCTACATCGTAGTTGTTGATGCGTGTCGAACAAGAGCAAAAAGTAACCGAGGAAGCTAGAATAAACGCAGAGCAAGATGTAGCAGCTCAGAAATATGCTGTTCATATGCTTCAGGTCAGATTATTTTTGGTTCTCTGATAATAATGTGTTGTCGTATGATACTCAAAGAGCAAAGTTCCCTAGATTGCTTGAAGTTGTTTAAAGGTTGAAGTAGATGCTATTGGTTTGTGCTGGTTTTTTACAAGATAGAAACTCATATTAGCCTGCATAAACTCTGAAGCTCTTTCTGTTGTCCCATAATCATGTCGAGATTTTTTCTTCTGTGATTATCATTTTCTCTATAATTCAAATACAGGATAAGTATGAGAAAGCTATGGCTTCACTTGCTGAGATGGAGAAAAGGGTGGTGATGGCCGAATCCATGTTGGAGGCTACTCTACAATATGAATCTGGCCAAGTTAAAGCAACGGCATCTCCTGGGTATAAAAATATTCAAAAAGATATTTGATGTGACTTTTTGAACTGACTTGATAAATGTGTTTTCTCGAAAAGAATAACTTAGGGAAGGATCATAGGTTTATAAGAAAGAAATACATCTCTATTGGAATGAGACCTTTTGGGGAAGTCCAAAGCAAAGCCACGAGAGCCTATGCTCAAAGTGGTCAATATCATACCACCATTGTAGAGAGTTGTGATTCCTAACATTTCGTTAGTGAATCAATGATAATGTACTAAGAACATATAAATGTTAGAAAATGTTTTGTTTTGAATAATTCATTAAGCTTTCCATACGAAAATTCATTTTTATGAGGGTTGGCTGCTCTGTAGGTCACGTAATCCAGGATCTGCACAGGATAAGGATAAGGATAATCAGAAAAAGGTTGGTTTGCTGCCATTTGCACTCGGCTGGCGGGATCGAAACAAGGTATTATTTTAGTTCAATAATTTTTCAGCCAAATATGCACCCACAAGAATTACCAATTGGTCCTATCATGGCCACCCTTGTGCTTTTTTTTTTTTTTTTTTTTTTTTTTTTTTTTTTTTTTTTTTTTTTTTTTTTTTTTTT